AGGCATATCTGGTCTCCATTTACAGGAATTGGCCTTGGACTGATTTTGAGTTTGGTCCTCTTTTCCCTTTGTGGAATTAAAGGAAATCAGTCATAGTCCCCACTTGGTTAGTTGGTACTGTGAACAGGATTAATTGCAATGGCTCCAGACCTATTAAATTATGAGACTTTGTAAAATAAAGAACAAAGGGGCATGGGATAAAATACTAAAGCTGAGGGGAGAGCTGAAACTTCTGGAGCAGCCTGGAGCCAATGACATGCTGGTTAAACAGGGCTGATGGTAGGCCACTGGACTCCTACTATAATCCATCCTTCTAGAGGCCCAAGGCCACATGCATGTGAATGGGGTAAATCCAAGGGAAAAGAAAAGATTGAACTTGAGAGTTTTAAAAGGTTTATGTGTTTGACTGCCTTTTGGATATTGGTTTCAGCTGCTTATTATTGTAAAATAGGCATACATATGTGATACGAATATTGAAAATTATGATTACAGAGAGCTTGTAAACTTGCCTTCAGCCTATACTTGATTGGATTTGCTAAAAGGGGAGTTAGGATTTGCCTGTAAAAAATAGGCTTCTTGGTTTAAACTTTGCAGAGTATGGGGCCTTATGTGGAATCCTGAGCCCCACCCAGAACTTTCAGAGTTGGGACATGTACTTGAAGGCATGAAGTCCAACCCAGAACTGCTGAGTGAACTGGAGATTCAAGCAGAGAAAAAAAGCTGACAGTTTGGCATTCTGAGTTTCAGAGGCATCAAGGCAAGGAAAGTCAGTCCATCAGAGAAAACCCCCTTCTAGGACTGAAAATTAAAGGGAACTGGTGAGCTGTATGCTTACTGGTGACTACCTGCGGCTACGAGTGAGTGGCATTGGGGGAAATGCAGCAATGCAGACATGGGCTAAGTTCAGGCACCCCTTGACCTTGAAATAAGAGAAGAGGAAAGGCTGTCTGGTTTGCAGTTTAGGGATTAACTCCTAAATCTATGGGCACTGATTTAACCCATGGTGGCTGGGGCTACGAGTGATTTGAAGTTCAGGGAGGTGTGTGTGAACTTCCAAACTTGCAGCTGGTACCCATTTGACCTAGCTTGCACTGTTAGGGTTGAGATGATCAGAACCTGATCAGATGATGAGAAAGATGGTTGATACTCTTTGCAAGTGTCAAGTGCTAGCTACAATTTGATGAACTGAACTTTTATGGATACAATTGCTCAAAATTCCAATTGGAATGAAAGATTCTTCATATCAAGGAACGTGCTTGTCTCCTCAGTGTAATGGGTTGATGTTTTCGTAGCTGTTGTGCTGTCGAGTCGGTTCCGACCCATAGCGACTCTGTTTCCAAGGAGCAGCTGGTGAGCTTGAACCATGGACCATGTAGTTCAAACAATTTTGCAATCTGATGCATTATCTCACAGCACCACACTAGTGACTTGATAGGGACAGGAAATTTAGACATTGGCTATCGCTATCAAAAATGGGGAGGGAGGCTATAAAGGTATGAAGTGGCTAACTTGCAAGCTTTCATAGGTGGGCTTATTTTTAGAGTGAGAGGACAAAGGAGAATCTCCACTGAATAGTTTTCCTCTTCCAGAATGGTCTGGTAGAAGGTGTGGGGGATGATGCTGATAGGATTTTATGATTTCAATTGTGATTGTTAGTAAGATTAATTGTGATGGTCAAAACTGTAATTGTGTAAAATGTGTAACTAAAAGGGGGAGTAGTTATCTTTCAGGAACAGATAATCCCAGGACCTTCATTAAGGAAGAGCATGAGTGGAGTGTGGGATCCCTTCCTGGGAAAGCTGCAACAGCAGAGATGGCAGCAGAAGCAGTGGCATGGAAAGACAGAGCAGCAGTGAACTCTAGGCCGATGGACTGAGTAAGGCTGGCTGCCTACTGGCAAGAGGTTGGCTTGCAGAATGCACTCTTTGGACATTTAAATGAATTTCTGTTTTGTCTTGCATATGTACATCAAATATTTTTGCTTTGCTCATTTGTGAAATAAAAGATATAAACAAGGCTAGTGCATTTTCAGTTGTATGTGTTTTAGTTATATCATGTTAGGTGCAAGCATGATTTTACAATTTTCTTGATTTAGAGATTATGTATATAGTTTATATGTCAAATTGACAAGGGTAGACTGTTATGGTTAGGGTTTCTTGTCAACTTGACTAGGCCAGGATGACTAGAGGTTTAACAGCTGGGATGTGGTTATTCCTATAGTGATGAAACCTAATACAGGCAAAGCTAGCTCTATGATGAGTGGCTATGAGCAGCCAACCAATTGAAGGGAATGCTTCCTTGGGGGTGTGGCCAATATAATGAACATGTGGGAGGGACTCTCACTCTCTTCAGCTGGAGACTTGGGATTCTATGATTGTAAGTCCTTTGTTTGATAATAATAAATAATATATATATGTTATATATATCTATATATGAGTCTCTCTGTATGACT